CCTCAGGGCTTAACCTAGGGACCTGCTCCAGTTGGTGAGCATTTCATCTTCTCTCTGGGAGAGAAGTTTTATTATCCTCTTGGATAAGCATTAACTACACAAATGGCTACAAACCTAATTCTCAGGGTTTGTGAAGAGTCCCAGGGGGCCCCGGCTTCTACTGCAGCACTGAGAAATTCACCACAGTTTCATTTCCCCACAGTCAAACCAACGGCAATATACTAGAATGCATTCTTCCATAGCTCTCTTTGTGGTTGTCACTACGTATAAATATAATTCCATGTAAGATGGAACGTAAGAGATGTATTTGTACAATGTAATTTGGATTATAAAAGTGGGATCATGATGTATTTTTGTCTCATTTTATTTTTTATCCATTTAACATATGTCATGAAAACCCCTTCAACTCAACTGGTAGAGATCTAAATCCTCCTTTTTTTTTTTTTTTAAAGATTTTATTTTTTCCTTTTTCTCCCCAAAGCTGCCCGGTACATAGTTGTATATTCTTCGTTATGGGTCCTTCTAGTTGTGGCTGAATCCTCCTTTTTAATGGCTGTATATTATTCCACAATATGGAAGGACCACAGTTTATTTGACAATTTTCTATTCCCTAGTAATGGGTAATTACCACTCCAATTTTTTCACTATAAAAAATAATAATCTTGACGAACAAACATTTGTGTATACAGACCCTTAAGGACTGATGCATTTATTTCTACAGAACAGATTCCCAGGAGTGAAACTGCTAGGTTGAAGGGCGTATGCATATTTAATTTGAATAGCTATTGCTATATTACTTTCCAATACAGCAATAACAATTCACACTTCCCATTAGTAGTAAATGAGAGCAGCCTTTCCTGGCATCCTGGACAGCCTTAGGCGGTATCATTTTGAAAAGTTTTGGCCAGTCTGATAGGATCCAGTGCATTTTGAACTACAAGAGCTCCAGTGGATCCTCAGAAGTGGCTTAGAGACTTTCTCATGGTGGGGTGGTGGCTCAGATGAGGGGTCTCCTGGTTCCCTGCCCTGTTTGAGCCTGAGGTCTATATTTTTCATATATCAACCTCCCCCATAAGGCTTTAAGAAAGAGTTTCTTGGGATAAAGGAATGTTTGAAAGCCCTGTCTCTAAGCTACATGGTGTGAGGTGGGTATTGAAGATTCTGGATACGATGGTGCCTCTGCGAAAGCCTGGATTTCAAAGAGACCTGGAACCTGGGGATAGGGAACTTGGAGGGGAGGCAGAACGCCCCACCAGGAAGCTGGCGCCCCAAGCAGGTGGAATAACGAGGATCTGACCTGGAGCACAGCGGGGTGGCAGGAAGAGGGCAGGCACGGGCCCAAAGATGAACATGCAGCATTCATTGGATGTGGGGGAGGGGAGTGAAGTGGGGAGAGTCTAGGATGTCCCAGGCTGGCACCCCAGTGGCAGGCAGCCTATGAATGTACTCCTGGAGATAGCACTCCAGTGTTCCTGGCCCTTGGGATTTAAAAAGGGACCTAGTCCAAATGGTGAGCAGGGTCAGATCCAGAGGAGCCTGAAGAGGGAGCAGAGTGAGGGGAGGTGTTTTGTGCTCCCCCTTATAGGCGGTGCCTGGGGGCCAGTGAGTCGGGGTGGGGCCGACTGTAGCGGTTCTTGCTGCACAAGAGAAGAGTGTGGCAGGGAACACCTCAGTGAACCACTGGCCATTGCTGAGCGGAATGTCAAGCAGATCCCTCTTTCCTGTCCTCTGAGTGCCCGACTTCCTGGCCTCTGTCCTCCCAGCTGCCAGGGAAGAGCAACCCAGTCCTCTGTCCAAAGAAAGGAAGAAAGATTGGGAGGGTAGCGAGGCACCCTTCTCCCACCTCTCCTCTGGAAGATCAGAGTCACAGCGTCAGGAGGCCCTCCTCTTGCCTCCAGGCTCGCTTTCCATCAATAGACCTCTCTGGTCCCTCCTCCCACAGTTCTTCAAGCCTCCAAGCTTTAAAGTTGCCCCATTCCTCACTTGGGACACTCCATTGCTCTCCTTATATAAGAATTCCCAGCCTTTAATCCCTTGGCACTTTGAGTGCTAATGGAACTTTCCTGTGCCAGGTTTGCTAGCTCTGCAGGGTTCCCAGGGTGGGTAGGGGGAGGGGCGGAGTCTAGATCCAGGAGTTGGGATGCTGATGAGGGCTCCGATCCTGGGTCTTTCTCTTCAGTATCTGAAGGCTGGGACTGATTTCCTCACAAATTACCTAGAAGAACTTCCACAGGCCTGAGGAGCTTTTGCCTCTCTGGGCCCTATTCTCCATAGAAAAATATTAAAAAATATATTTTGTGACTGCATTGGTATAAAGACAAATGTAAACCAAGATGGATTCATTACTACATATTCATTATTATTATATTCAGATTTCTTGTGCTTTTAAAAGAAATAAAAATGAAAACATTTCCAGGCCCTTGGCATAGTGCCTCCTGTACCTTACGGGTGCCCCCACCTCGAGGCCAGCACCTTACCCAGGGAGTATTCTCTTTTCAAGAAAAAAATAGCTTAGTCTGTCTGTCTTTCCTTTTTTTTTTTTTAAATACAGCTTTATTGAGGAATTGAAAACAGGATCTCGTAGAAATATCTGCATCCCCACGTTCATTGCAGTATTACTCCTAATTGCCAAGATATGGAAACAACCAAAGCGTCTGTCAATGGACAAATGGATAAACAAGATGTGGTATATATACAATGGAATACTATTCAGCCCTGAGAAAGAAAGAGATCCTGCCATTTGTGACAACTTGGATGAAACTTGTGGGCATTATGCTAAGTGAAATAAGTCAGACAAAGACAAATACCATATGATACTTATATGTATAATCTAAAAAAGCCAGATTCAGAGAAACAGAGAATAGAGTGGCGGTTACCAGGGGTTGAGGGGTGGGGGAAATGGGGAGATATTGGTCAAAGAGTACAAACTTCCAGTTATAAGATTAACAAGTTTGGGAATCTAATATACAGCATGGAGATTGTATCTTATAATACCGTACTACATACCTGAATGTTACTAAGAGAGTAGATCTTAAATATTCTCACCACAAAAAAGAAATGGCAACTATGTGATGGGATGGAGGTAGGAGGTAATATTATGGTGGTAATCATTCTGCAGTACATCAAAGTATCAAATCAACACAGTGTACACCTTGAACTTACACAATGTTATGTGTCAATTATATCTCAGTACAACTGGGGAAAAAACAAACAAACAAAAGCTTTATTGAGATATAATTCACATATCATAAAATTGACCCTTTTAAAGTGCACAATCCAGTGGGATTTCTTAGGGAGCTTAAGACAACAGAGATTTATTCCTTCACGGTTCTGTGGGTCACAAGTCTGAAATCCAGGTGTTGGCGGCCACACTCCCTCCAAAGGCTCTGGGGAGAATTGGTTCTTTGTCTCTTTCAGCGTCTGGTGGCCACTGGTATTGCTGACTTGCGGCTGCACTGCTCCAGTCTCTGCCTCTGTGGTCACACTGCCTCCTCTTTTGTGTGTCAAATCTCTCCCTGCCTCACTCCTTTTTTCTCCACTTTAAAAAATTGCAGTAAAATACTCATAACATAAAATTAACAATCTGAACCATTTTAAGTGCTCAGTTCGGTGGTATTAAGTACATTCACGCTGTTGTGTAGCCATCACCACCATCCGTCTCCAGAGCTCTTTTCATCTTATAAAACTGAAGCTCTGTACCCATTAAACAATAACTCCCCCTTCCCCTACTTCCACAGCCTGTGGCAACCACTATTCTACTTTCTGTCTCTATGAATTTGGTTATTCTAAGTGCTTCCTATAAGTGGACTCATACAGCATTTGTCTTTTCATGAGTGGCTTATTTCATTTAGCATAATGTCCTCAAGTTTCCTCCACGTGGTAGCACTTGTCAGAATTTATTTCCTTTTTAAGGCTGAATAATATTCCATTATATGAATATACCACATTTTGCTTATCCATTCCTCTGTCGATGGACACTTGGGTTGCTTCCACGTTTTAGCTATTGTGAATAATGCTGCAATGAACATGGGTGTGCAAACATCTCTTTAAGACTCTGCTTTCAATTCTTTATTCTCCCAGGTGCAGCAGAGGGAGCTCTTCTCCACCACTCCTCTTGGTGTCCAGGGGTGCCCTTTAGTTGTAGAGTTTAGGGGTGCTAAGGAAAGCTGTTCGTCTAGTGTGTGTGTGTATGGTTGTCTGGGTTAGAGTGACAGTTGTCACTGGCCAGGCGTTGCTCACTGGGCGGTCAGCTGGTGGGGTGCTTGGGGCAGAGAAGGAAGTTCCCTCTCACAGGAAGACTTGAACAAGGACTAGTTGGGACCTTGGGTGCCGATGGTGTGAAGACTGAAGGGTCAGAGGGCAAGGGCTAAGTTCCACTCCATCTCTCAGGAGCTTGCCAAGGTGCTTTGCACAGTTCCTTCTCTCAGTCCTGTCACCCAGCACCCCCTGGACAATGAATGGCTGAATCTCTGACAATTCCTCCAGTTCTGCTCCCCATTTCCTCCCCACTTCAGACTCCCCTTTCCTTCTCTGTCCTTTCCTGGCGCCCCGCCCCAGGCTCTCTCCCATCACCTTCGTCCCTCCACATCAGAAAGCCTGTTCTAACTGTAGCTTAAACTCATAGTTACAGGAAAACCAGTCGAGTTGGGAAGGCTCATTCTCAGTGATTGCTATATGGGAGAAAATGTCAATACCTCTATTTTGGTATTTGTTTCACACATTTTTAAAATATGGAGGTGAATACCTCTATTTGATGTAAAAGTTTTCAGAATTTATAGCATTAAAAACACTGGAATTATGTACTAAATGTATTTAAAAAAATTATAAACTACAAAACATCAAATTAAACATAGAAATTTCAAATATAAATATTAAACATATATTATTATTCTAACCTAAATTAGTAGATAGAATTAATAAAATATTATTCAAAAACTAAACTAAATACTATATAGAATTAAAGAAAATTTAATTCACTTTGAAAAAATGAAAGGGAAATGATATCTTTGTGGAGGAAGAAGGAATTTTCCTGTACCCTTCTGGATTCTTCTGGCTGATCTAAGAATTAAATTGACATGAGACAGATTAACAGGAGAAAATCAAGTTGAATTGGGTACATAGGGGAGCCCTACATACATGAGAGAGTCAGAGACCCTACATACGTGAGAGGTTCAGAGACAAAAAGGTAAAATGAAGTATATAAGCCACCCTGAGCTAAGGAACGAGATAGGGGCCTGAGGCTTCAGAGGAAAGGAAGGTAATTCACAAGACGATAAGAAGAACAGATGTTCAGTAAACAGAGGTTTGCCCTGACATACAGATAGGTCATAAAAATGTACTTCTGGTCATAACTCTTATTATAGGCAAGGCCCTAATTTAAATTCTTTAAAGGAGAGGTAAAAGTTCCTCAAGTCCGCAGGGTCTTCATTACCTTTAGCTCAAAACGTTCCACATGCCAAAGTGACGCATCCGGGGGAGGCCTGTTCTGAACCCCTTCAGTCCCACTGTTGAAATTTCATGAGAAGTTTCACATTCTACAAGTGGGGTTGGTGGATTGCTCCATCTCACTGAACCAGTCTCTCAGTTTAGGGGGGCGTTTAGTCCAATTAAACACTTGTGTCCAATTTCAGGAGGCAGTGATGCAGGTGGGCTCCCAACATGAGGCCTGTGGTGCAAGCAATGAGGTATTTAATAAGAAGCATTTCTATGGAAACAACAGAAAAACAATGGTTAGTGACTGGAGCAGACTATAATCCCAGTTTCTGCATTCTGAAGGCAGTCAGTTGAGGAGAGTTCTAGATGTCTGGTTCCAAGCATTTTCAGATGAAATGAGGGCAAACAAGAGCAATCTGACAGATTTTCCTAGTTTTCAGTTTGAGTGTCTCTGATGATCTTTCTGAGTGGCCCATGAAGCAACAGGTATGGAGATTGTCCATATGCAAGCCATTGTGATGATTTCTCTGAAATTTATGTCAAGTTGTTGGGCTTCAGTTTTCAGGGATTCAAGAAAAAGAGCAGGGGCCAGCCTGGTGGTGCAGTGGTTAAGTTCGCACGTTCCACTTTGACGACCTGAGGTTTGCTGGTTCGGATCCCGGGTGCAGACCTATGCACAGCTTGTTAAGCCATGCTGTGGCAGGCATCCCACATATAAAGTTGAGGAAGGTGGGCATGGATGTTAGCTCAGGGCCACTCTTCCTCAACAACAACAAAAATTAATTAAACAAAAAGAAAGAAAAAGAAAAAGGGCAGATGTAGTTCTCAATGATTCCAAGTCCAAAGGTGAGAGAAAATTGGATATGTTAGTTTGGAAGGTTGTAGCCAAGACTGGAAGAAGGGAGAAGAATTCAGGATCCAGTCCAGTTAGCAGATTGTAAACAAAACCTTGAAAGACAATGACCAGCATTAGAATCTAATATCCACAAAGATGTTTTTATTGAAACATAATTCTTCTCTCTAAAATCACATCCATTTCGGGGGCTGGCCCCGTGGCCGAGTGGTTAAGTTCGCGCTCTCCGCTGCAGGCGGCCCAGTGTTTCGTTAGTTCGAATCCTGGGCGCGGACATGGCACTGCTCATCAGACCACGCTGAGGCAGCGTCCCACATGCCACAACTAGAAGAACCCACAACGAAGAATACACAACTATGTACCGGGGGGCTTTGGGGAGAAAAAGGAAAAAATAAAATCTTAAAAAAAAAAAAAAAATCACATCCATTTCTATCAAAGATCATCGCAGTGAAATTAATTTGTTTGTAAAATGTCTGGTCTCAAGAAACTTGGTCTATTTTCTTTTTCTATTTTGTTTTTTAGGAAGATTAGCCCTGAGCTAACATCTGCTGCCCATCCTCCTCTTTTTTTTTTTTTTTTGCTGAGGAAGACTGGCCCTGAGCTAACATCCATGCCCATCTTCCTCTATTTTCTATGCGGGACTCCTGCCACAGCATGGCTTGCCAAGCAGTGCCATGTCCGCACCTGGGATCTGAACCAGCAAACCCCAGGCCGCCAAAGTGGAACGTGTGCACTTAACTGCTGTGCCACCAAGCTTGCCCCTGTTATTTTCTTAAGTGCAGCAAGAATAGTGATTGATCACATAGGATCATTTAAATCTGCTTTGCTAGAATCTTTCACAAGGAATTTCCAATTGAACTTTTAAAGGCCTCTTGAGGCCAGGAAACCAAGCCAAGGACTTGCCATCAGACTTGCCTGCCATACCTATAGATTTGGGTGAGTTCTTCTCTTCTCGATGTTCCAAGATATCCTGAGGTTCCTGCACCTGCCATGAAGTGACCTTCCTTACTCACCTGGTAAGGCTGCGGGGAACACTATAAGCAAGATACCAAGCCAATACTTCCAAGGTGCTTTATTTGCTCCATACAGTCCACCTTGATTCCTTAAAGCTATCTGGTCATACCTGAGTCCATGCACATTCTCTCTCAAATATGACATTCAAGTCAAAGCCTTGGTAATAGAACCAGTTTGCACTTGTGTCCTGCTACAAGGAGAACAGATTCTGTTGAACTTATCCAAATAATTATATTGCCATGAAAATAAGAATACTCACTAAATTTCTGAATCCTGGAGGAATAAGGTAGGAAGAAAAAGATAAATGTTTCAATTATGTTTACAAACACATAATTTACCAATTGCTGTAGTCATAGTTGGCTTATGAGAAAAAAAATTTTCTTATGTCTGGAAAACAAAGGATTAAAAAATAGTAATCTTTTAGACCAAAAGTCATAAAAATTATAACCATATTTATCAGTTCATTCAGTCCTATGTATTAATTCTTGTTCTTCTTGAATCTAGTTTTCCTTTAGGTCTTTTGACTTTGTGTGATGATTGAGAGTGATAGGAATAGTGCTAACTCCAAGAAGGTGGCAAGGTTTTCACTGAGACTCATATGATTTGCCTAGTGAAGTGGGTCCCTCGATCACTGGAGATTGTGGAAGGTATACCCCAAATGGGAAACACATTTTCTAACAGGCTTCTTTGCCATTGTGAGGCATCAGCTTTGTGGCAAGGGAAGGCTTCAATCCACCTGGAAAACATACATACGATAACAAGAACATATTGATAACCCGTACTAAGTGGCAGGAGAATGAAGTCCAGCTGCAGGTGCTCAAAGGGCCCAGAGCGAGGAGTTCGGAGGCCTCTGGGGGCAGAAACAGTCTTTCCTTTAGTGGGTGAAGGAATGTAAAAGCCAAAAAATGGGGCTTTCCGGGGAACTGGGAAGAATCAAGCAGCCGTGTTTGGTTTCCTACAGCCCCAACTATTTGTTTAATCGACAACTACTGTTTACTCATCTTAATTTTTGTTATTCAAGAACGTACTGTTGCTATGTTACAAAGACATCAGGAAGGCCAAAGTCTGGCAGTGAAGCTCAATTTTTTTTTTTTTGGTGAGAGGAAACAGAATGGACTTCATCCACATGTGTCATAACCATTACAGATTCTGTCCTTACTGCCTTTGCATGAACTTCAGCTAAGGCACTTTCCTGTTATTCAGTGTAACCCTCAGTTTTGATGACAGACAACATTTTACACATTACATATTAGATTTCCAGGAATTTCACATAATTTCTGAAACTCCTATAACATATACAGATACAAAATAAAGAAGGCTTAATGTTATTTCTTATTTAACAATGGTTCTCATGTAATTTAACATATCAAATAAACCTAATTAGCTTAATATTTCCCTTTTTTTTATAAGGAGAGAGAACAAATCTTTTATTTATTTATTTTTTTTAGGGAAAGATTTTCCCTGACCTAACATCTGTTGCCAACCTCCCTTTCCTTTTTTTTCCTCCCCAAAGCCCCAGTTACATGATTGTATATCCTAACCATAAATCCTTCTAGTTCTTCTGTGTGAGCCACCATTGTAGTATGGCACAGACAGACGGGTGGTGTGGTTCCAAGACTTGGAAATGATCCTGGACTGCCAAAGTGGTGATGGCACTGAATTTAACCACTGGGCCATCAGGGCTGGCTCAAGAACAAATCTTTTGAGATGTTTCAAGGATCCTCTGACAAATCCTGAAGTTACCTAGAGGTTAAAAAAGACTTCATTTAGAACTTGATTTTGGGAAGTTTGTCAAAAATATCAAAGAGGTTTTAAAAAACTTGCCTAGGGGCTGGCCCCGTGGCCAAGTGGTTAAGTTCGCGTGCTCCGCTGCAGGTGGCCCAGTGTTTCGTTAGTTCGAATCCTGGGCGCGGACATGGCACTGCTCATCAGACCACGCTGAGGCAGCGTCCCACATGCCACAACTAGAAGAACCCACAACGAAGAATACACAACTATGTACCGGGGGGCTTTGGGGAGAAAAAGGAAAAAAATAAAATCTTTAAAAAAAAACTTGCCTAAATTAGGATCAGAGATCATTATGAAACAATATTTAGTTATCTATTTAACCAAAGTGACAAAAAGATTTCAAAGATGAATATAGAGGGTTACATAGCTGCAAAACTTCAGCTCCTTTAGTAGAAAAGTTTCAGCTTTTAACACAAAGCACCGGAGACAGTTCTGATAAAACACAAAAAGGTAAGGAAAAACCTTTCATGATCTCTTATCAGGGCCAGACCAATATCCCAAAAATACTTTGTTCTTTTAGGAGATGAAAAGAAAATTAAGTTCCAGTTTTATATAAATACATTATTGATAGTATTTTTTTAAATTCTTAAAATAACAATTTAATTTTAGCTAACTTGACCACATGTAAAATTTTTTTCTTCTTTTTACTAAAAACATACATTTTATACTAAGATATTTCCCTTGTTGTTTTAGTAGTTTTAATTACATATGCTAATTAGAATCTTTTTAACCCTCACAAACCTTAATTTTCAGTGAAAACTAAGAAGTTAGCACTTGTGAACTATCTGCCATACCAGCATTCTTTAGATAGGCAAATTTGTAAATTAATTTCATAATCTCTAGGACACATGCTTCTTTATAGTACAATCTTTCAATAAAGCACAAGACATGTTTACTAAGACTTAAATTCACCTTTTAGTTTCTCTGTTGTAAGAGGTTAAAAGTATGTAAACTTAGATGTGTTTAGCAGTTAATGTTTCAGTATTTTATCTTATTTGTAAATGATCTAGACATTCAATTAATTCTCATCATTTAACTTAGTAAAACTCTAAGGTTTCAAGTTACTAAAAAATATTTTGAAAGCTATTTTTAAGTATATATACCATAAGACACAATCATCGATAAAAGATTAACCGAAAACCCTTTTTATTTTACTAACATCTATTTAGTTCACTTGTTCCCAATAATTATGTTTAGATTACCTACAAAAACGTCATGAGACATTAGACAAAGTCAGCCATCAAATTTCTTCTTTGCTGCCAAATTTTGTAACAGAGGTAACATGAATTTGTTTGGCTTTTAGTAAACCTAGATAGAACAAAAGTTTTACATTTAATGCTGATAACTCTAATGACATGCCTATTTTAATTAAAAAGACAAACTTAAATTAGCTTTAATACCAAATATTTTCCTAGATCATGTGATCCTGAAATTTATCTGGGTTAATTTCTACTATATTTTTGAGAGTATACTCAATTTATATAGCCCTTGTTTGTTTTTCAGCCAATTAAATAGAACTCTCTTATAAATTAAATTTGATAGTACCATCTGGAGGTAGAAAAATACCATGCGTTTACAACATACATATAGATAGACACACATACATAGAGACCTCATAGCTATTGTTTTAAAATTACCGCCACAAATCAAGTCAGTAATACAAAGCTCACTTTTTATGAAAGAGCAGTTGGATTCAAATTGTGTTTCTGGCAGATGGGATAAATTAAGGTACCAGCTTAGATGACTAAAGCTTTTTCTACTAAAATTCGTGGAGGAGACAATTAAGATGCTAGATTTTGGGCAAGGGTGCTTCTATAGCTGTTTGCCTCTTTTTTCTTTTTTTTCCCTTCAGTTTTAGGAATTGGGGAGAGGTTATAAGCCTTTTGAGATAAGTAGTGGAGGTTTTTGGGACTGGTGAGAGGGAATGGTTGGAATCTGCATTGCCTCTAGAGCTGCATTTCCAGTTTTGCAAAGATTTGTAAGATAAGGACAGTTACTCTCAATTCCTTAGAAGCTGGTTGTAACTTAAATGACACCATAGTTTGATCTACCTGTCTAACTACATCATCCACAACTTGCTTCTTTTCCTCTGGGTACATAGTTTTATTTTAACTTAGGGAAGAAGGCCTACAAAAAAATTCCTTTTGGGCTCTGAATATCAGCTCCCAATCTGGCTAATTTTTGACCATAGAGCTACTGAAAAACTCCTTCTAAATATCTTGCCAGTTTTCAGTCTAGATAAACAGTAAATATTTCTGGCAATATTAAACAACTCCATGGACTCAAGTGACATATTCAAAGGTTACTACCTTCCTAAGATTCGGAGTCACGTCCAAAGACAGCCAAAAGAAAGAACCGCCAGCCAGCATGTCCCAGGTATGTGGAAGGCCAAGCCAAGCCCTTAGGACACAAAACCAGACAAGCAAGAAGGCAACAGCTATCCTTGGGAGAGAAAGGGTCAATAATCAATGGGTCTGGGTTTGGAAAGGAAGAGACAATGTGCAATTTTATTTTCCTCTCTTAATGGGGCACTACAGAATGGCCATTGATATTTCTAATTCTTTTCTACGTTTGGTAGGATCTTCTGAAAGTGAAAGTAAAAAGGCTTTATAATCCAAAGATCTGTTGTTGTCCCAGGGACAAGAATTCCATGGGTAAGTCTAGGATATGTCCACAAAAGATATTGCACAAATGGGCCTGAAGCTATCAGAGCCTGATGATAGCGCCCAGTAACGTGAGCCCTACTGCCTGTTCCAGGTGCTTCTGCTGAATTCATTTTCTGGCTCTCAGCATTTACATGAGTAACCTGTATACTCTTAGGGATTAGGCTGGTGTGGACTCTGTAATCTCATGTGAAAAAGGAAGTTAAAACTGTCAGATGGGGCCAGATTTTAAGAAGGGGGTTTTACGTTAGATTTTTGTTTTAAGTCTAATTTTCTGTTCTCTCATCTTGTTAGGGAGTCTTAATGGCTAGTCATTATGCAAATATGAGAGCTCTCTAAAAGTTATTTTTCCAATTTAGAAGTTTTTCCAATTCAAAGGATCCACCATCTGGCCATTGATGAGTAGGATCGTGATAGTGACTCAAACCAATAAGCCCTGTTATGTCTTAACCATGGCCCCAAAGGAGAGTGCAAAGGATGCAGTCCTCCTAAGTTCCAAAAGGTTTACTCCCAAAGATAGTCTTAAGAAAGAAGGACCTCTTGTGACAAAGCCCCTTGAGAGCTGGCACAGCTGGACAAAGAGACTCAGAACCCCAATCTATTCTACTAGCCATCAGATATGCCCCGGTAAATACACCTTCTGGATTGGTGGAGCCTGGAGAGAATTTTCTCATTGCTTAAAATACCAAGCTTTCAGGACATATAACAAGATGGAAGGAAAAACCTCACATGGTGAGTTGGCTTAAACAGGGAAATCTTTCCAAAAGGCAGAAGCCATGAACTCTCTGCCGATGGAATTTCCTTCTTAAGACAAACGACACAATAGACAGAAAAACAATGACTGTCTCTGGGAGGAAATGGATCAAGAGTACTTTACCAAATTCACCAGAGTTGCTAAAGTTCAAGAAACTAGTTTCACAAATATTTTCTCCTGCTAATATAAATTTAGAAAGAGAAAAAAAGACTCTTATCACTCTCGCTTCCAATAGACCCTGCAGCAGACAGAGATCTGGGAGTCTGATAGGACAAGAACTCTTACCTTATGCCATCACTTGTCAGATGTCTCAGGATCTGTCAGCTGCAGCAGCTTTGGAGGGAGTGGAATCCAGCCAGGGAAGTTTATCCTGCCGACTATACCAGCTGTATGGGATGATGAAGTTTTCCTGTACTCTTCTGGGTCCTTATGGCTGGTCTAAGAATTAAATTGGCATGAGACAGATTAATAGGAGAAAATCAAGTTTAATTGGGTACATACAAGAACACCACATACACGAAAGACTCAGAGACAGTAAGATAAAATGAGACATATATGCCATCTTGAGCTAAGGAGTGGGATAGGGGCCTGAGGCTTCAGAGGAAAGGAAGGTAATTCACAAGATGATAAGAAGAACAGATGTTCAGTAAACAGTGGTTTGCCCTGACATATGCATAGGTCATAAAAATGTACTTCTGGTCCTAACTCTCATATGGGCAAGGTCCCCAATTTAAATTCTTTAAAGGAGAGGTAAAAGTTTCTTGAGTCTGAAGGGTCTTGATTACCTTAACTAAAAATAGTTCACATGCCAAAGTGACACATCCCGGGGAGGCCTGTTCTGAACCCCTTCAGTCCCACTGTTGAAATTTCATGAGAAGTTTCACATTCCAGACGTTGGGTTGGTTGATTGCTCCATCTCACTAAACCAGTCTCTCAGTTTAGGGAGTCGTTTAGTCCAATGAAACACTTGTGTCCAATTTCAGGAGGCAGTGATACAGGTGGGCTCCCAACATGAGGCCTGTGGTGCAAGCAATGAGGTATTTAATAAGAAGCATTTCTATGGAAACAAAAGAAAAACAATGGTTAGTGATTGGAGCAGATATAATCCCAGTTTCTGCATTCTGAAGGCAGTTAGTTGAGGAGAGTTCTAGATGTCTGGCTCCAAGCATTTTCAGATGAAATGAGGGTAGGCAGGAGAAATCTGACAGATTTTCCTAGTTTTCAGTTTGAGTGTCTCTGATGGTCTTTCTGAGTGGTCAATGGAGCAACAGGAATAAAGATTATCCATGTATAAGCCATTGTGGTTATTTCTCACCTAGAAAGACAATGAAGAGCACTAGAATCTAATATCCACAAAGATGTTTCTATTGAAACATAATTCTTCTGTTTAAAATCACCTCTATTTCAGGCAACCTAGAAGTAAAACTCTCGCTATTTGCAGACGACATGATCTTATATATAGAAAACCCCAAAGAATCCATAGGAAAACTATTAGAAACAATCAACAGCTACAGCAAAGTTGCAGGGTATAAAATCAACATACATAAATCAATAGCATTTCTATACGCTAACAATGAACTAACAGAAAAAGAACTCAAGAACTCAATCCCATTCACAATTGCAACAAAAAGAATAAAATACCTTGGGATAAATTTAACCGAGGAAGTGAAAGATCTATACAACGAAAACTACAAGACTTTCTTGAAAGAAACTGATGATGACATAAAGAGATGGAAAGACATTCCATGCACATGGACTGGAAGAATAAGCATAGTTAAAATGTCCATACTACCTAAAGCAGTCTACAGATTCAATGTTATCCCAATCAGAATCCCAATGACATTCTTTACAGAAATTGAACAAAGAATCCTAAAATTCATAGGGGGCAACAAAAGACTCTGAATGGCTAAAGCAATCCTGAGAAAGAAGAACAAAGCCGGAGGCATCACAATCCCTGACTTCAAAGCACACTTCAAAGCTACAGTAATCAAAATAGCATGGTACTGGTACAAAAACAGGCACACAGATCAATGGAACAGAATTGAAAGTCCAGAAATAAAACCACACATCTATGCACAGCTAATCTTCGACAAAGGAGCTGAGGGCCTATAATGGAGAAAAGAAAGTCTCTTTAACCAATGGTGCTGGGAAAACTGGACAGCCACATATAAAAGATTGAAAATTCACCATTCACAAAAATAAACTCAAAATGGATCAAAGACCTAAAGATTAGGCCTGAAACAGTAAATCTTCTAGAAGAGAATATAGGCAGTACACTCTTTAACATCAGTTTCAAAAGAATCTTTTCGGACACCATAACCCCTCAGATGAGGGAAACAATAGAAAGAATAAACAAATGGGACTTCATCAGATTAAAGAGCTTCTTCAAGGCAAGGGAAAACAGGATTGAAACAAAGAAACAGCCCACTAATTGGGAAAAAAATTTACAAGTTATTTATCTGACAAAGGGTTAATCTCCATAATATATAAAGAACTCACACAGCTCAACAACAAAAAATCAAACAACCTGATCAAAAAATGGGCAGGGGACATGAACAGACATTTCTCCAAAGGAGATATATGGATGGCCAATAGACACATGAAAAGATGCTCATCATCACTAATCATCAGGGAAATGCAAATCAAAAGTACACTAAGATATCACCTACACCAGTTAGAATGGCAAAAAGATCCAAAACCAAGAGTGACAAATGTTGGAGAGGCTGTGGAGAAAAAGGAACCCTCATACACTGTTGGTGGGAATGCAAACTGATGCAGCCACTATGCAAAACGGTATGGAGATTTCTCAAAAAGTTAAAAATAGAAATACGTTATGACCCAGCCATCCCACTACTGGGTATCTATCTAAGAACCTGAAATCAGCAATTCCAAAAGTCCCATGCACCCCTATGTTCATCACAGCATTATTCACAATAGCCAAGACATGGAACCAACCTAAGTGCCCAGCAACTGATGATTGGCTAAAGAAGATATGGTATATATATACAATGAAATACTACTCAGCCATAAAAAAGGACAAAGTCGTCCCATTCACAACAACATGGATGGACCTTGAGGGTATTATGTTGAGTGAAATAAGCCAGAGAGAGAAAGACGAACTCTGTATGACTCCACTCATAGGTGGTAGTTAACATATAGACAAAGAGAATTGATTGGTGGTTACCAGGGGAAAGGGGGGGTGGGGCGAGGGCACAAAGCATGAAGTGGTGTACCTACAACATGACTAACAATAATGTACAACTGTAATTTCACAAGGTTGTTAACTATCATAATCTTAATAAAAAAATCACCCCTATTTCTATCAAAGATCATCATAGTAAAGCTAATTTGTTTGTAAAATAAGTCTAGTCTCAAGAAACTTGGTCTGTTGTTTTCATAAGTGCAGCAAGAATAGTGATTGATCATATAGGCTCTTTAAATCTGCTTTGCTAGAATCTTTCATAAGGAATCTCCACACTGAACTTTTTTTCGTGTGTGAGGAAGATTGGCCCTGAGCTAACATCTGCTGTCAATCTTCCTCTTTTTGCTTGAGGAAGATTGTCACTGAGCTAACATCTGTGACAATCTTCCACTATTTTTTGTATGTAGGATGCCACCACAGCATGGCTTGATGAGCAGTGTGTAGGTCCTTGCCCAGGAACTGAAACCATGAACCCTGGGCTGCTGAAGTGGAGCATGCAAATTTAACCACTATAGCATTGGGCTGGACCCTAGATTGAAGTTTTAAAGGCCTCTTGAGGCCAGGAAACCAAGCCAAGGACTTGCCATCAGACTCACCTGCAATATCTACGGATTTGGGTGAACTCCTCTTTTCTCGAGGACATCCTGAAGTACCTGCACCTGTCAGGAGTGACCTTCCTTACTCATCTGGTAAGGCTGCTTGGAACCCTACAAGCAAGATATCAGGCCACTATTTCCAAGGAAATTGCCCAGAGATAATAAGAATTATTCTTGCAGCAGGGACTTTGTTCATTGGCATTTTCTTTCTCCTTTTTTGCAGATTGTGGAGGTGTAGAAGAATGCTTTCTGAGAGAGTAAACCTTAGTTTGATTTGAAATTTTAATGTAACCTATAATTCTTAAGTACATCTCAATATATAAATTATTAAGACTTCAGATTTTAATAAATATTGAGGGGCCAGCCCAGTGGCGCAGCAGTTAAGTGCTCATGTTCTGCTTTGGCAGCCCAGGGTTCGCTGGTTCGGATCCTGGGTGCGGATATGGCACCGCTTGGCAAGCCATGCTGTGGTAGGCATCCCACATTTAAAGTAGAGGAAGATGGGCACAGATGTTAGGTCAGGGCCAGTCTTCCTGCGCAAAAAGAGGAGGATTGGCAGCAGATGTTAGCTCAGGGCTAATCTTCCTAAAAAAAAATATATTGAAGTAATGTTGCTATACTAACAAAACCCCTAATATGTTGGTACCTAAAACTTACACAACATACCAGAATACTGAAATATAGAAAACAGGCATTGTAATTTCTTATTCTTTAAAAAAGGCAAGCAAACAATAGGATTTCCAACCAAGCAAGAAATCCTTGAGCCTGCTCTAGTCTCTGAGGGGAGGGAAGATGAATGATGTTCTCAGTCTTCCCTGGAGAAACTGCCTCCAGGAATGGGTCAAAACTGTTTATAATGCAGCCCCCCAAAAGAGAGAAGTGTTTCTCTTTTCTTACCACTCTTCCTACAAGTGCATAATTACCATCTTAATGACAACACATGACTCCTTCCTGCTGATGTTTAACTTCTGCCAAAGTCCTTCAATTTAGGACATTTAGATTGTTTCTAGGTGTCTTTCCCTCCTCTCGGTTACAGATTATCTGTGGTAAATATATTCATAAATATAGTTTCTTTAGCTTGGGAGCTATTCTTAAAAGTATGAATTATTACCAGATCAAAGTCAGTTCTGTGGCTTATGTCCAGCTCTGGCTTATTATTTTGTGTTCTGAAAAGTGTCCTTGTTCATAGCTCAGAGCCATGGTGTTAGTTTAGGAACACACAAACTTATGATCCAAAATTTTATCAGAAAATTATTGTGTTGGTAAGTAAAAACTTCTCCAAGAAACTGGAAAGAGCCTTAAAAAAAAATTGCTGCTTGTGTGCATGTATGCAGCTGCATGTATATGTATGTGTGTGTGAGAGAGGGTGTGTGTTTCCCCATCCCTTGCCCCAAATTTGGGAAAAAAATATGCCCTCTTTTTTCTCTGTCCTTTCATTGAGGTCAGGGCATTGGGTTGGGAATGATGGAGTCTACAGGATCAGGCTGTGCCAGGGCCTGGAACCTGGATGGCTTCCCTTTCTACCACGTGCCTGGGAGGATCTGACCAGCCTTGTGACCATCCAATCATCAGTCCTTTGGCTCCCCCTGCTGACCATTCAGTCCCCACTCACCATGGTCTCGTCTATGGGAGTGGCCTGAAAGGTCTGGGGTAGTCGTGTGGCCATTGCCTGGGAGAACATGGTGGCCAGGTGTTTGGACAACAGCTGACTGGAGCAGAAGCCAGATCCCTTTGCTCCTCTTTAGGATCAAGTCACACAGTCTTAGTGAGGAACAGCCCCACAGTGTAAGGAAAAAGTTGAGTTAGATTTCTTGGTCCCAGTTCATCTTCCCATTGCTGTCAAATTTGTCTATCTGGCAAATAAAGCAGGTTCCATAGCTTAAAATCCTCTACTGGCTTCTGCTGTAGACTGCATGCAGTTCTCCCCAAAGTTCATACTGGGGCCTTTGGGAGGGGATCAGGTTTGGATGAGGTCATGGGAGTGGAGCGCTCATGGTGGGATTTTACCCTTATAAGGACACCCTCTGCTGGCAGAAAGAAGGAGTGCTGCCCACATGCCAGACACTTGCCCTGGTCTCCTGAGCTTGCCAAGTCCATCTCATGATTTGTTCATGCACATTTCTTCGTTTATCTGGCAAACCCACCCCAAGTTCAAATGTCACTTCCTTTGTGACATCTCAGGTCCCAGGCACAGGTAAGAGCTCCATGCTCTTATCTCCTGCAGCACCCTCCACACTCCTCTATACTAATCCTAATTACATGGCAGCGCAACAATCTGTTTACAAGCCTGCCCCCTCCACTTCCCCTTTCTTCCATTCCCTCTCCTGATCCTGACAGTGAGCTACTTAGAATGAGGTGATGCGGAGTCGGTGAGCCGAGGAGTCGAAAGTATGATTTCTTGGACTCTCAAGATCTGGCAGTAGTGCTCTTTTATTTAGAGAATAGTGTGGAATAGCATGGGGACAGGACCCACGAGCAGGCAGAGCTCCTGCTGCTGCCCCGAGTTGAGGGTTAGGGCTAATTTTATAAGGCATGGGTATGTGAGTCATTTCTTTCCAAGATAAAGGAAAGAACACGAAAAAAAAGTTAAAATGGTACCAGTGCAGGTGGGGTCTGGTCATTGGGTGATCCCATGACTTTTAGACAAGAATCAAATCGGATTAAGTAAAGGTTAGAAAGGTTAGAAGCCACCACCCTAAATCAGTTACATGAGATTGCCAAACAGCAACCAACTTAAGTTCTTGCCTCTGGCATTAAGAGTTTCTAGAGATAAGGCCATCCCCCTTCTTCCTGGCACAGAGAGGGAGGCATCTTTACAGATAGAGGTTTCCCTTAGAAATGTAAATCTTTCCCAACAAAGGGACAAGCAAGCAAATTCCACTCCTTGGAGCCTGCTTCTCATCTGTAGTTTTAAAAGTAACCAGCCTAAAAGTCCTCATCATAAACCGTTTTAAAATTAAGCAGCCTAAAAATCCTCATCAGAGGGACCATGTCATCCTTATCTTTATTTAGCACATGGCCTGCCACATAATAGGCATTCAATAAATCTTTGTTGAATGCATGAACACACTTCCACATTATGGAGGGTTGTGGGATAAAGGGCTGGAGGGTGGGGTATCCGTGGAAGGGGTTTTATGTAGGACTGTAACCAACACAAATCCTGGAGTTGGAGGACAAGCCGAGGGTATCTATGAGTCACCGTCTCAGAATACAGTGAAGGCTCAGTCTTGCTGCCAAGAGGCTGGTGGGGAGACAGCTCTGGGCAGGTTCAGACCTGGAATTGCACTCTAATGTAAGCTCTAGCAGGGCACGAGGAAATCTGGATGCTATGTTTGCTGCTGTGTCTCATACTCAGCACCATGTTTGGTGTGAAGTAGCTGCTTGCTAATCACAATGAGCTGGTGGAATGCACTGGACTTGATGGAGTGCACTGGACTTGAGGGAGTGTGCTGGACTTAATGGAGTAAGCTGGACTTGATGGAGTGCACTGGACTTGATGGAGTACGCTGAACTTGATGGAGTATGCTGGACTTGATGGAGTGCACTGGACTTGATGGCGTGTGCTGGACTTGATGGAGTGCACTGGACTTGATGGAGTACGCTGAACTTGATGGAGTACGCTGGACTTGATGGAGTACACTGGACTTGATGGCGTGTGCTGGACTTGATGGAGTGCACTGGACTTGATGGAATGCACTGGACTTGATGGAGTGTGCTGGACTTAATGGAGTAAGCTGGACTTGATGGAGTACGCTGGACTTGATGGCGTGCGCTGGACTTGATGGAGTGCACTGGACTTGATGGAGTACGCTGAACTTGATGGAGTACGCTGGACTTGATGGAGTATGCTGGACTTGATGGCGTGCACTGGACTTGATGGAGTGCACTGGACTTGATGGAATGCACTGGACTTGATGGAGTGTGCTGGACTTAATGGAGTAAGCTGGACTTGATGGAGTGCACTGGACTTGATGGAATGCACTGGACTTGATGGAGTGTGCTGGACTTGATGGCGTGCGCTGGACTTGATGGAGTATGCTGAACTTGATGGAGTACGCTGGACTTGATGGAGTGTGCTGGACTTGATGGAGTGCACTGGACTTGATGGCGTGCGCTGGACTTGATGGAGTGCACTGGACTTGATGGTGTGCGCTGGACTTGATGGAGTACGCTGGACTTGATGGAGTACGCTGGACTTGATGGCGTGCACTGGACTTGATGGATGCAAATGTAAACAAAGTTCTGTTCTCTCCAAATGTTCTCCTATAAACCTGCTTCTGGCCATCATTCTTCTCTATCCCTGGATGAAATCTTACAGGTTCCATCGTCTTTCTGGTCACTCAGGTCTCAGTTTTCGGGTAGTGGGAGTCCAGTCCATGCTCAGTCTCTTGTCCCAGTCAAAGCTCCTCAGCTGCCTGGCTGGGGCCTGCCTCAGGCCTGGGGAAGCCTGTGGTGGGTGGGGACGTGGGGCAACCTCTGCCCTGTTCCCACCCTGTCCTTTCGCTCTTCTTCCCTGCTCACTGTGTCTCCTCTGGCCCATTTAGAGGGGCAAACAGAGGAGAGACAAGGTGTCATGGAGGTCTCACTTACTAGTTTGTTTATAATCTGGCCTTGGAGTCCTCACTGGGTGGTGGGTGTTCAAATGCCCACTCATTCGGGGTGTGGGGTAACTTTCATGGGTCCCTCAGAGCTCACCCTGCCTCCTTCAGTTAACCACTTACAACATCTCATCTCCTCACCCCTGCTCTGACTGCCAGCAGAAGTTTCCACACAGACTCTTTGTTGGGGTCACTCTGTCCTGGAGGCAGGCTGTCTTTTGTGGGGGTCCAGTTGTGGCTGTGGGACCCACACAATTTTCCTGCCATTGCAGACAGCGCAACCTCACCCCTTTGCAGACATCTCTCCTCATCTGCTGTTGGGGCAGCTGGCCTCTTGCCTTTAGAATTTAGGTGTAAGTATGGAACCATTTCCTGCATCCCCCAGGTCCTGGGACACAGCCCAAGCTGTCTGAGTGGTTCTCACTTGCGTGAAGGTGAGCGTCTCTTTAGAATGTGTGAAAACCTGACATTCTTCATCCTCAGCTTTGGAGCCACAGTGACAAAGGAGACAGTGAAAAGGTTCTCTTTTTAGGGGCCGGCCCCGTGGCCAAGTGATTAAGTTTGCTCACTCTGCTTTCGTGGCCCAGGGTTTCACCAATTTGGATCCTGGGTGGACATAGCACTGCTCATCAAGCCATGCTGAGGCGGTGTCCAATATAGCACAACCAGAAGGACCTACAGCTACAATATACAACTATGTACCAGAGGGCTTTGGGGAGAAGAAGAAGAAAAAAAAAAAGGAAAGAAGAAGACTGGCAACAGATGTTAGCTCAGGTGCCAATCTTTTGGAAAAAAAAATTCTCTTTTAGCATCCTGTTATGTTGGGGTTTGTGGGATGAATAAACAAATGGTTGGATTTAGAATACTGAGCAAACAGGCCCGAGGGTGTGGTCTGAAACCAGGAGGCTTCTTGGGTGAGCAATGAGGCCACGTGGCCAGATGGTTGGGCAGGAGAGCAGCAAGGGAGGCTGGCTCTGGACCCCCAGGGCAGACCTGGGCTTGAGGCCTGGCTCTCTTATTTCCTGGTGGTGTGTTTTTTGGGAAACTTATGTACTTTCTCTCAATTGCCTCATCTCTAAAATAGGGATAATTACAGAACTCACCACACAGGGTTAGGATTAATGGGGTGATGAGGCTGGTGCTCGCCTGCAGGAGACCCTGCACTCTGGCAGTATCATCCTCATTGCTATTCTTGTTCCTCAGAGGTGAGGGGAGCTGTGCCAGCAGGGTGGGCGTGGAGTTGGGGCTCGGGCTTCTTGGCTTGGCTGGAAGCCTCAGGAGGAGCGTGGGTTGGGGGTGGAGACATGGGGTGAGGAATTCAGCGCAGAGGGGAAGCCACTTTCTGGCCCCTGGCTGAGCGGCTGTTGGAGGAGAAAGCCACAACTAAGCACTATCCAGTCCCCACTGGGGGGTGCTCCCACCGTGTCCGTGAGGACACATGCTCCACCTGACTGGGGGGAACCTGCACTGTTAGCCTTCTCACTTGCGTGTGAGAGGGGACCAACTTGGCCCTGGGCCTGGCCTCTGGAGAGTGGCCCTGGCGGGCGGGCGAGAGGATTCCCAGTCTGGGTTCTTCCCTCCCCACTCCCTCGCTGCAGGGCCAGCCCCTCCCCTCTGGCCAACCTGCCATGGGAACCCAGGCCTTGGCCCCAGCAGCTGACTCATGTGACCTCTGGGTTCTCCGGCAAAAAATTCCGCAGCCTCCCCAGCCCTGACCTTAGAAATGGAAACTCTTCTTCATGGAGCTGGTGAAGGAAGTTAGCTGCACAAAGCTCGTGAGTCAAACGGGACCAGATGACTGGTGCAAAGGAGCTCGGTAAGTTCAGAGTGCCCTGTGAAGGATCATGGAAGCCAGTCAGTCCTTGAGGTCATTGCTGCATTCATTTTCATCCACACAGGTCTGACCACCTTCTTTTCCCCTTCTGATGACCTTGTCCGTCATTCCTTGGGGAACTTTCCTTCCCGTTTCCACTTCGTTCTGGTGGTACTCCCAATTATACTGCCTCAGTCCTACTTGCCCCATTGTGGGCACGTGACCACAGTCCTGGCTGATCTGATAGCCCATGGGCCCTGACCAGCCTGCTGTGCTCCTGGCCCTGTAACAGAAGAGGCATCTGATAAATGGTGGTCAGCTGGCCATCCTGACCTGGTTGCAATGTGGCTCTGCATACGTGAGTGATATAGCAAGACAGGGCTTGTAGCAGAGAAGAAATTGTACTTGGAACATGGAGGTCAGATCCAGGTGATGTGGTTTTAAAGCTGGGTACCTGAAGGTTATTGCAAATATTCAATAAGATTAACTTTTGACATTGTTATGAAAAGAAGTTAATCTTGTCAATTTGCTGTTTTCTTGTTTAACCTGATGGGTGACTCAAGGATCACAAGGATTTATGAACTTGTCTTAGAGAAGAAAAAGAATTCCTTCGAGGAAGTTATGATCATCAGATAATCAGCCCCCAGCTGCCATTGACCCTAGAAGTCAGATTGCCCAGGGCCTTATCAAGAATGAAAGAAACTGTGGATTACCCCTTTGTTTTTTGAAAATCTTCCTGCCAAGCCCCTTAGCTCTATAAAACCCTCTGCTTTCTTCTCTTGTTAAGGCGGATTTGAGAGAACCTATCCTCTGCCTTCTCGTTTTGGCCACTTTGAATAAACCTTTCTCCGTCTCTAAGCACCATGTCTCAGTGAGTGGCTTACTGTGCATGGCACACTAACTCAAGATTAAGAGGGGTGGATCCACGTGATGGATGCTAGAGCTCTAGAGAAAGTTTGGGATTTGTTGTCATTGTTAATTTAGCTTTTTTCATATCCACCTGTACCTGCATCACCTACCGGGCCTTCTATGAGTGATATCCTGCAATCCAGTGAACTCTTAGCAGCTACTATTATTGTTACCATAATAATGCTATGGACTACTTCCAGTCTCCTCTTCCTTCTCTCTTATGCTTTCTTCCTGCCCTATGGTTCTTCGGGAGTTGCAGTCTCTTATGAGATATTGAAAGTTTGGAAAGAGCAGGGAGGAGCTCAGGACCCCAGCTGCCTCAGATAGATAGAGAGAAAGCTAGGCTTGCAAATGCACATAAAATAAAGTGAACCCTGCAGGAGACTTGTCTGGTTGATGATAACCCTGTGTAACCAGGAGCATCCCTCCCTGCCCACGTGGAGGGGGTACCCCTTCTAAGCACCACCACCGACTAGGTGTCCAGGCTCCTACAAGCCATGAGCTGGTACCAATTATATTCTCTTCTTGAAATAAATTACTTGAAGAAATATTGCTCTTGAAATCAAAATTAAGAACTTGAGAATGGTGACTTAGAATTCTTGACAGTAAACCAATAAAACCACTTAAATAATACGGTTAGGTTGAAATTATCAAAATATAACAATAAAATATACTGTAAGTTTAAAAAATAGTTATTTTAAGAAAACTGCAATGTAAACACAACAATTTATTAGCAACAATTGGATTTTAAATCACAAATCATATTAACAAATATCAGTAAGTAGTAAGTGGGTTGGGAAAAAATAAAAGTGTGTTGATTTTCTTATTTCACATGAGGAGAATGAAAAGATGTAGTTTTATTTTCCATTTTCAAGATTAGGATAACATTTGAAAAAAAGTTTTTGAAAATCTTTAAAGTACTTGCAGGAACAGTGGAGAGTGAAATACATGTTTTCCAAATAACTGGAGGGAATATGATGAAATAAAACATAATCTATAAAATGAAAATGGAAAACAAAGGAAAGAGCAAGGAAGTATAAAAAGAAAAGAATTAAGAAAGCAGAAACAAGGAAAGCACATTAATTACGCCCTGTTAACTTATATACTGTTAGATTATATACTGTTACATATTAATGATACAAAATTATATGTACAATGTGATCATAATTTTGCATAATAATGATATTACTCTAAATATATGTAATAGCATTTCTCACATTGCTTTCTGTAAAGCACTACTTTTGTGAGATGTTAATAATTATTGAGAAAAAGAGCTCTGTGGCAAATAAGTTTGGGGAAACTTAAGTGAAACCATATCAGACAGGATTTATTTTTGCAAATATTCTCAGAGCCTTATGGGATATGGGTAGTGGATATTTTTTCATTTTGGATGTCTAGCTCCTGGACTCCCATCCTAGATGTGGAGAATATCTCATCTCATGAAGCAGAACCCATCTCCTATTGCAGAAGCTGAGAATTCCAGTTACTTGCTGTCTCTCTTCCCTGGCAGCTGCACCGATTAGACAGATGCCCCTGCCTGGGAGTTTGGGTCTGCACCAGTTACTCCAAGAATCAAGGGTGGTGGAGAACCCTTCCTGGCAATGGGCAGCAGCTTTTGCCAGTACCCAAGCCAGTACCCAAGTGCCATCCAGTGCTCAGGGTGACCACGCAGAGTCCTCACCAGACTGCTTCGGTGGCATGATTTTGGCCGTGTTTCTGTTTGTGTAACTTTTGTTTATTCTTCCCCATTTTCTAAGCCCTCATTTTCTAGTCTTCCTGGTGAGTCTATGAGCTATCTAACACCATTTAAATAAAATCTTTTCCTGCTCAAATCAGTTTTAGGCACATTCTGCTGCTTGCATTTCTGAATATTGACTGATACAGTGTACTGTAAATTTCTAAGAGGGAGAAACTTTCCAAAGTTATTTGTCTGGACTTTTTTTTCCTTTTCAGAGAACTTATTAATCTCCTGTGAAATTAATATGCTGTGGAACATAAACTGGAAACTTATGGCCAGAAAAAGGCCTGGAAGAAAACACAGTAAATGAATCATAATGGATATCTGGTTCCAAATACTAATGGGTTGAGGACTTGTGTTTGTGCTTCTCTCCAGAGATCCCATTAAAAAGTGGATAGATATGCAATGGAAACTATAAGACATTATTGAAAGAAATAGGTGATGACGTAAAGCGATGGGAAGAGATTCCATGCACATGGATCAGAAGAATAAACATAGTTAAAATGTCCTATTACCCAAAGCAATTTACAGATTCAATGCAATCCCAATCAGAATCCCAATGACATTCTTCACGGAAATAGAACAAAGAATTCTAAAACCACAGGGGCCAACCAAAGGCCCTGAATTGCTAAAGCAATCTTGAGAAAAAAGAATAAAGCTAGAGGCTTCACAATCCCTGACTTCAAAATGTAGTACAAAACAGCATGGTACTGGCACAAAAACAGGCACACAGATCAATGGAACAGAACTGAAAGAGCAGAAATAAAACCACACATCTATGGACAGCTAATCTTTGACAAAGGTGCCAAGAACACACAATGGAGAAAAGATAGTCTCTTTAATAAAGGGTGTTGGGAAATCTGGATAACCACTTGCAAAAGAATGAAAGTAGACTATTATCTCATGCTATACACAAAAATAAACTCAAAATGGATCAAAGACTTAAAGATAAGTCCTGAAACCATAAAACTTCTGGGAGAAAATATAGGTAGTACACTCTATGACACTGAACTTAAAAAGTTCTTTTTGAATACCTTGTCTTCTCAGACAAGGGAAACAAAGGAAAAAATAAACAAGTGGGACTTCATCAGACTAAAGAGCTTCTGCAAGGCAAAAGAAACCAGGATCAAAACAAAAAGACAACCTACCAACTGAGAGAAAATATTTGCAAATCATAGATCCAATAAGGGGTTAATCTCCATAATATATAAAGAACTCACACAACTGAACAACAAAAAAACAAACAGCCTGATCAAAAAATGGGTGGAGGATGTGAACAGACGTTTTTCCAAAGAAGATATACAGATGGCCAATAGGCACATGAAAAGATGTTCAACATCACTAATCATCAGGGAAATGCAAATCGAAACTGCCTTACACCTGTTAAAATGACTATAATCACTAAGTCTAAAAATAGCAAATGTTGGAGAGGGTGTGGAGAAAAGGGGACCCTCATACTCTGCTGGTAGGAATACAAACTGGTGCAGCCACTATGGAAAACAGTATGCAGATTCCTCAAAAAACTAAAAGTAGAACTACCATATGACCCAGCTATCCCACTACTGGGTATCTATCCAAACAACTTGAAATCAACAATCCAAAGAGACCTGTGTACCCCTATGTTCATTGTAGCACTATTCACAATAGCCAAGACATGCAAGCAACCCAAGTGCTCATTGACCAACTGATGATTGGATAAAGAAGATGTGATCTATATATCAATGGAATACTGATCAGTCATAAAATAAGACAAAATCATCCCATTTGCAACAACATGGATGGAGCATGAGGGTATTATGTTAAGTGAAAGAAGCCAGACTGAGAAAGATAAACACCATATGACTTCACTCATATGTGGAAGATAAACAAACACACATGGACAAAGAGAACAGTTCAGTGGTTACCAGGGGACGGGGGGGTGGGGTGGGGGGTGGGGAGACACGGGGTGAAGGGGAGTACTTATATGGGGATGGACAAGAAATAATGTAGAACTGAAACTTCACAATGATGTAAACTATTACGAACTCAATTAAAAAAAAGAAAAAAAGAGGATAGAAACCCATGGCAGCAAAGATAATGTGAGAGGGATCAGACAGTGAGTAAGAGATTTAAACGCTTATAGAAGATGGAAAAATTGAAGGAGGTGTGTTGGTAGATGAAGCAGAGAGGAGGAAGCCTCAGACAACATGACACTGGGAAAGGACTGGAGTGAGGGCGGGACCTGATGGACATTTTGGTACCCCAAGGAGATGGGGATGAGTTGGCACTGGAGGATGGGGATGAGAAGGGGGTTTGGCAATGCTAGGGTTAACTGAAAGTCTGCCTAGACAGGGAGGCCAGTCACACCCCTCTCCTCTCTCTTTTACCTGGCAGCAGAGCAATAGCTGCCTGGGCCCAGCTCTTCTCGAAAGAAAAGGAACAAACCCTCTGGAACTTCTTTCTTGGCATCCCAGAATAAAGCCTTCCTAGTTCTGGCAAAAACAGCCGGTTCGCTGTCAATTCACTCAAGAGCAGCTTGCCAAATACACATAAACGGTACTTCTAAGAAACCTTCCTACGCAGGGAAGAAACCAGCTGGGAAAACAGATATATGTTCACACTAGCAAGGAAAGTCTGCATCAACCATAAGAGCTACTTAGAATAATTAAATTAATCTTTCATTCCTAAGGATATAAAATTGCCAGAAGTGAAGAATACTGGCAGTATGAAAGAGAAAGGATAAAATAACTAGCAGAATAATCAAAGGTCCTAGAAGAAGATGGAGAGAAAATGTAGGAGCCAGAAGAAAACTGCATCCTCAAAAGAGATTCAATAAGCGGATTTCCAGAAAAATGACTTTAGTGGAAAAAATTTCATGTAATAGAATTAGAAGCGAGAAGACATTAACAATATACAGTAAAAAGCATAGGTTCCTTTTCTTAAGAAGAGAAAAAAAAACCCAAACAAACCCAAAGCAATTAGACTCTAGACGAAACAGAAAAGAAGAGTCATGGTCTAGAAGCCAGCCTGGTGGCGTAGTGGCTGAGTTCGAGGGCTCCGCTTTGGTGGCCCAGAGTTAGCCGGTTCGGATCCCGGGCATGGACATGTGCACTGCTTATCAAGCCATGCTGTAGCACGCAGCCCACATATAAAATAGAGGAAGATGGACACAGATGTTAGCTCAGGGTCAATCTTCCTCAAAAAAGAAGAGTCATGGTCTAGAACAAAGCAGACTAAAATGTGGCATGATTTTGAGCAATTGACAGAGGAAAAGAAAAAAAGAATTTACTTGACTTTGATGGTAGGTCTCTCCTGTAGGAGACCAGAAGCGTGACCCTGGACCATTAAATAAAGCAGTGTCATCTTAGCAATGTCTGGCTACAGAGTAAACAATAATTATGTTGCCATAATAATGCAAACCCTGTTTTTTTGTTTCCAGTTATTTATAATAAACCTATAAACAAAGCCTGAAGAGTTAATTGTGATTCCAGAACCGGATGTTAGTGTTTTACAAGGTGTAACTGAGAGCCGGTGGGAGGAGGAGGGTTGGGAGGCAGTCAGAGCAAAGGGCGGGCGTGCACATCCTCATCTAACAGAGTAGGGAGGGGAGAGGCCCTGGCTGAGATGAAACCACGCGAGGTTTAGGTTTCTTATGAGAAGTTACACAGGCAGTCAAGAGAAGAGCTAAAATAATAATATAGCTATCAACACTCGGAGGAAGATAGGCAGAGGAGTTGGGAAATAGTTCAAGGCGAGTGACATCTTTGTCTTTCACGGTCGGCATTCAGCAGATAATGTCTCAAGTCAACACACAAAGTAATAGGAACATAAGCCACAGTGTTCGAATGATGGTGGTAAACAGACTGAGTGCAGAACAAGAGCAAGAGAAGTCGTTAAAATGACTGCATTTGAGGAGAGGGGCTGCAGGCAGGGCAGGTGACGCCTATTTTCTATTATAAGCTTCTCTGAACTATTGAACTTTCAAAAAGCTGGGTGCCTGTATTAGTTCGATGAAAATATAAGAAATAAAGGAAGAAGCACTATACAATAAAGAAGTAACAATCATTTGTAACACGAATGGTTCTTATTTTCTATTTTATGTGCTTTTGCATAGTCCAGATTTTCTGTGATGAAGATGGGTGACTTTTATAATTAATAAAAGAAAAGAAGACAGAAAAAAGAAAAATTAAAAATGATAATTTTCTGACTGCAAACTCTGGGAGGGCAAGAATCCCGTCTGCTGACTTTGTCTCTCCAGTGCCCAGGGCAGCCCGGCCCCCAGCGGGTGCTAAGTGAGTTGAATGCGGGACAGACCCTGGGAGGGAGGTGTTTGCGAGAGAAGGGAGGCAGCGATGGGCCTCAACTCTGACCTGAATTGGCTGGAGATTGCGGTTCTTCCCTCCTGACCTCTGAGAACTTAACCCCCTCAAACTGCTCTGAGGTCTCTGGATCCTCCAAGCTGGATTTGGGGTGTTGGCTCTTGCTGAGGACCCTCAAAGATCCCTAGTATCTGTGTCTGCCATGGCCTGTGTGGCTGGCCCACGGTGTTGTCGGGGGAGCCCAGGGGGATATAGGAGAGTGATGAATGGGGGTGGGGGTGAGGCACAGGCCACTGAGGTAATAAAGGCCCTGGGCCCTGGCGGGAGGTGAGGTCATTGCTTGTTCTCATGGGAGGTGGGTGGGGAAGCCACATCAGCCCTCAGGGAGAAGCTTATGTGTTCTGCATTTTAATAATGGGATTAATCTCTGAGAAAAACCTGCCACACCTTGGGAGTGGATCCTCTGTCTCAGCACAGTTCAGAGAGGTGTGACCCCAGCCTGTCCCCGGGGACCGGTCTGCCCTCAACAGCTGGGAGTTCACCTACGATATTCACCCTCATTTGCTGCTGGGGGGGGGGGGTGCAGTTGGCCTGCAGCCCCTCTGTTCCACTAGCTTTCCCTCAGCCGGCCTGAGGCACCCCAGGAGAAGGAGGGGCTGTGGCCCTAACCACAGAGTGACTCGCAGGAAGCTCCCTGTCTAAGGGAGAGGACCTCGTCCTGCTCTAGGGGGTGACAGCCCTGGCTCACGGGAAGCACTGGCCTAATGGTATGGCAGGGCATCTCTCTGGGGCATTCAGAGAGAGCCCAACATTGCTCCCTCCCTTGCCCCTTCAGTCTGTTGCCAAGAAGGTAATGATGTGTCCTTGGCCTCCCGGGAGAAGTAGTTGTGGGCGGGGTATATGTGAGGGGTAGGGACATGAGCCCTCTCAACTCAGAGGAGCAGGCAAGACAAGGGGAGCAGGCTGCAGAGCTGCCCAGGGCCATTGCCAAGATAGGCCAGGAGGGGGCAGCAGTATCACTTTAGTAGGAGAGAGGGCGGGGGAGCATGCCAACTCCTGACTCATGGTACAGGACAGCCATTTCATGCGTGAAAACGGACTCCAGAGGCCGAGAGGAGCAAAAGAATATAACGTCTCTCATAATCTGAGGAATCTTTGGGAGGGCTTTGGACATATGTGGGGTGGGGGGATGGCATTGGGACAGGGGTGGTGGTAGCAACGAACAGGGAGACTCCTGTTGACATTTAGGTAACAAAAGCAATTTAGAAATTTTAACATATAGGTTATGGTTGAGAAAAATGCACAAAGACAAAATATTTTGAAAGTAGGTGTTGGAAAAGTTTGAAATGGCTGGAGATGGTGCTTGTGGTGTCATGGATGATACTCTAAGACTTGTGAGGGGAAATGTCAGAAGCTGCCCCGTTTGCTGTAGACATTAGCTGTTCTTTACGGGATGTGCCTCTTTGGATAATGCACTGGGATGGTCCTGAGGAACATGTTGTTCACAAATACAATTGTTGTGAACCTGTCCTTCTGTGAGTCAGAATTGACACAGGCAGAGACCGCTCCTGTGGGGCTGGAGACTCTTCAAGCCAGAGTGGCCTTTATGTCCTCTGGGACTGTGACCAGTACGTCCTGATTTTTGTGATGGGTGATAAACTTTCATGACAGTTGGGATGATGATGACCGTGTAATTACGGGCTGAATGATGTGGTGGAGGAGGAAAATCTCAAGTCTTCATGGAAGGAAGAGGTCAGTGGAGGTGCTGCGGTTAGGGAGTTTGTAGAGCAAGTGGGACTTGATCTGAGTTGGAAGGTGGAGATGCATGGGTGGGCAAGAGAAGGGGGCACAACCGAAGGAGGGCATGGGGTAGGACTGTGAGACCTGTCACACCAGAGCAGAGTGTGCTGGGGTGGGCTGTGGAAGGCCTTGAATGCAAGGTGGGAAGGGGTTAGAACTGATGTGGTGAGAGGCAGTGACCTAATAAGGAGGAAGTTACAGAAGGAAGAGGTCATGTTTAGAGGATAGTAGAAATATGTTTACATTATTTAGAAAATAGTAGAAATATCACACCAAGTGCCTCAGTGGAAAAGCCAAACTGGATAACTTGGGTACCACCACTCTCTACCTTATCACCCCCTCCTCCCTCTGGGATCTCATGATCTGATGTGGGGCTCAGGTGTCCGTGTACTGCTCAATCTCTTCTTCCCTTCGTGACATAAGCAGGAGGCAGGAGTTCAGCCCAAGTGAGTCTGGTGGCTGGAGAGTGTCTGTTTGGAACTAGTGGATGATGTCTGATTTCTGGGCAGCTATAAGGAGGGCAGCTGGAGACTGAGTGTGCCTCTACAATCAGTTTTGAGAAGAGGAGCTTTGTACCAGTTGGCATCCTTTTGGTTGCAGAAAACACAGAATAACTGACTTAAAGTGAATTATAAATAGAGGCTCATTATCTCATACAACAAGAAATCCAGATGTCGGAGGCTCCTGGTTTGGTTAATTCTGCCGTTCGACCATGCCAATTTCTCTGCAATTCTTTTTGCTCCTCTCAAGAAAGATGCTCAAGCAGCAATAAGCACAGCTTCTCCAATGACAACAGGGAAAGCAGGAAGGGAGGGCAGGGGGCAATTTCTTCCAATATCTTTTTAAAAAAAATTTTTTAGCATCTCAAAATTTTTTTAAATTTAAAGAAATTTTTTAAATTGAGTTCATAATAGTTTACATCATTGTTAAATTTCAGTTGTACATTATTTCCTGACTGTCACCACATAAGTGCTCCCCCTCACCCCCTGTGCCCATCCCCTACCACTTTTCCCCTGATAACCACTGAACTGTTTTCTTTTTCCATGTGTTTATTTATATTCCACATATAAGTGAAATCATCTGGTGTTTGTCTTTCTCAGTCTGGCTTATTTCACTTAAGATAATATCCTCAAGGTCCATCCATGTTGTTGCAAATGGGATGATTTTGTCTTATTTTATGACTGATCAGTATTCCATTGTTTATATATACCATATCTTTTTTATCCAATCATCAGTCGATGGGCACTTAGGTTGCTTCTATGTCTTGGCTATTGTGAATAGTGCTGCAACGAACTTAGGGGTGCATATGTTACTTTGGATTGTTGATTTCAAGTTGTTTGGATAGATACCCAGCAGTGGGAAAGCTGGGTCATATGGTAGTTCTTCTTTTAGTTTTTTGAAGAATCTCCATACTGTTTTTCATAGTGGCCGCACCAGTTTGCATTTCTACCAGCAGTGTATGAGTGTTCCTTCTCCACACCCTCCCCAACATTTGTTGTTTTTAGTCTTTGTGATTATAGCCATTTTAACAGGCATAAGGTGGTATCTTAGGAAGCTTTGATTTGCATTTCCCTGGTGATTAGTGATGTTGAACATCTTTTCATGTGTTTATTGGCCGTCTGTATATGTTCTTCGGAAAAATGTCTGTTCATCTCCTCTGCCCATTTTTTGATTGGGCTGTTTGTTTTTTTGTTGTTCAGTTGTGTGAGTTCTTTATATATTAAGGAGATTAACCCCTTATCGGATATATGATTTGCAAATATTTTCTCCCAATTGGTGCGTGGTCTTTTTATTTTGATCCTAGTTTCTTTTGCCTTGCAGAAGCTCTTTAGTCTGATGAAGCCCCACTTGTTTATTTTTTCTTTTGTTTCCTTTTTCTGAGAAGACATGGCAACACCTTGTTTTTTTACCAAGGCAGAAAATCTTTCTCATCACCTCTCTAGAAGACTTCTTCACATCACTGGCCAGAACCAGGGCCCATCAACCACTTCTAGGTACAAAGTTAGCTTTAAAATGCCTTTGGCATTTTCATCCTTTGCCGGGGAAGAGGGGGTCTGCAACAAGAAGGAAGAGGGAGAGGGGACTGATGGATAGTTGGCGACTGACAGTGACTGCTGCCGACCCAACGGATGAAGGGATGGTGGATCTGCTGCAGAGGAAGAAGAAGACCAAATCCTTGGGGCTTGTAGGATGAAGAGGAGGAGGGCTCTTGGGGTTGAGAATCGCCTGTGTCTTGGAGTCCCAAGCACAACCATGGACTGTGTCTTTGGTGTGAGAGATGCTCCACCCACACTGGGGCTGGGGTTTACTTAAATCATGAGATCAAAGCTGCCCAAGTCTCTGTTTTTCCTCCTACCAGTTTCAACCACGAGGACTCACCTTGAACCCACAGGGTGGAGGCTGGCATGGCATTATTGGCAATAGAATCTCTTCCTCCTCTGTGAAGAAAAACCCCTTGGAGGTCAGGCACTCCTGGACGTGGAGGGAGTGAAGAACTGGGACCGGAACACATCTCTTTCTCCTGAATTTCCAGATTGGACATCTTGCCCGTAGCAGTAGGAGGAGAGCAGTGCAGATGGGGCGAAGAGCAGATGCCTGTCGCTGGGGAAGAAACAGCTCGGCCTGGGGGAGTCCTCATCTTTGTGAAGGGAGATGGGACCCAGTGCTCTGATAAGGCCTAAGCTGCAGGTCAGGGGACCTCACTGTGGGGAGCCTCTGAGGGGATGTAAATCTGGGAGAGATCCAGTGACTTGCTAGATGATGGGGGTGCTAGATGGAGGGGTGGGATCAGGACGGCTCAGCAGTGGAAAGGCCTGGGAGGGGGATTCAAGGAAGGGGCCCAAAGATGAGGGTGAGAGTTGGGCAGCATAATAGCAAGGCACCTAATGTCAGCCCATTGTGCCGCCTCGGGAGTTCCCAGAGCCCTTGTGGGGCCAGTGGGGTGAGTGGGGCCCTTACCCTCACGTTGTACCCAGAATACTGTCTGGGCCAGGCTGTGCCCCAGAGCCCAGGCTGAGCACAGAGTTGGACGGAGGTGAGGTGACTAACCCTAGGCTTGAGACAGGGTTCTTTAAACATGCTTGGGGTGAAGTGGACTTTCTTCCAGAGTCCAACCTCCTTCAGTGAGACCTCCCACCTGAGGAGCGCTGAGGAGGCCGCAGGGCTTCCCTCTCCAATCTTGAGTGTCATCCTCCTTGGCTTGCCAGCTCAGTGGTCAGAACACTGCATAGGTGTTGCCTCTCTCAGGAGTAACCAGAGCCGCCATTCTCCCACAGAAAGCACGAGCTCCTGGGTTGGGGTTCAGGAGCTCTGAGCTAAGACTTGGTTCTGTCCCTCACCACAATGTGGCCTTGGGTGAGTCACTGGATCTCTCCCAGCCTTGGTCTCGTCCTCGTCAGCCAGCCGCACTGTCCAGGGCTGTGGGGTGGACTGACTCCGCTTGGAACCATGGCTCAGCCTCTGGGACCCGTGCGACTCCAAACGAATTAACCTCCTTCCATCCTTGGTTTCCTCACCCAGAAATGGGCATTGGATTGTCTAGAGAGTTAAAACCATGCCTGGCACCTAGTTGGCACCCAGTGAACGCTAACTTTCCCCTTTTTCTTGCTGAGTTTTTGTTCAGCTTTCAGCCATTCACCTCCACGTGTGTATTGTGCTAACTTTTGCCAAATGCAGGGTCAACAGCAGCAGCAGCAACAGCAAAAACCCAAAATAAAATGGGTCACATCTCACTTAGTCATTAGGAGGGATCAGCATTAGACTGTGGGGCTGGCTGGGAACCAAGGTCAAGTCATCATCCCGACTACTGGTGTGAGAACCAAAAGACATAATGAGGGTTCTATAATCTGTGAAGGGCAACCAGGACAGACGTGAGGAACTGATCCCCAGGAAGGAAGCCCACATGGTGGGGTTTCAGACATGGTGACAGGCTGGTGAGGGGCCTCCCACCACGGCTCCCAGCCCTCAGGGTGGGGCTCTTGGCCAGGCCCGTCCAGGTCCAGGACTAGGGAGATCTGAAGTGCATCTCCTCCGGGGAGGGAAGGAATTTGCATTCCTCTGGAGTTCCCGAAAGTGGCAGGGACGGGCTCAGGGTCTGATTCCCCGCTCTTCCTGGTTGAGATGTGAGAACAGTGTTAGGGGAGGGGGGAATCGGAGAAGTAGCTTTCGGAGCCTCTTTTAGCAGAGCTCTCAACCCATTGCACCTGTTCTGGGGGGTTCTGTGCCTTCTCCCCTCTGGGCCCAGAAGGAAAAGGACAACTCTACTTTCAAGGTCAAGGTAGAACTTTAATGAATTTCAAGGTTCACTTTTAGAGATCTCAGGTTCTGCAGTTTCAGTCTAGTGGTTGACTGTCCCCATTCATGCCCTTGAACCCTGATTATGATTTACACTGTTGCCACCACCACTCCACTGCCACTGCAACTGCCACCCACTGCCACTTCTGCTACTGTAGAGTCATGGCTCACAAAGTGGGCAGCATAAGACATAAAAATAAGCATGTTTAAAATAAGTAGCAGAGTCCAGCAATTAAGAGCATGGACTCTAGAGCTAGACCACCTGAGTTCAAATCCAGCCTCTGTCCTTTCCTACCTGTGTGAATTACTTACCTCCACTGTGCCTCAGTTTCCACATCTATAAAGTCACTAGTGACTAGTGACACTAGTAGTTCTCATTTCTTAAATTTGTTGTGAAGATTAAATGAACTCATCTATATAGAGCCCTCAGAACAGTGCCTAGCACAAAGTAAACCTTACGTAAGTGTTAGTGATTCGTATCCTTGAAAATCTCCCAGGATGCTACTCCATTGGAGACGGACATACTGTTTCTCAACAAGTCTAACACAGCCAAGGTTTTCAGCTGCTGGGAAGGGTGGCTGTTTCCTCAGGTGAGCTCCAGATAAAGCACTTGGCTTGGCTTGAGTCACCATGTTGTGCGAAAGAGATGTTTCATCATTGATATTATCATCAGTTCATTGAGGTGATCCCCCATGAGAACCAAAATGGTCCAAGGAGCTGTGGTTTCCCATCTCCCATCACACCTGAGCAGCATCTCGAGCACTATTTTGATTGTTTTCTCCCCTCTGCTGATTAGAAGTAGGTGAAGTTGAATGTAAGCCTGGTGCCATCACACCATTTTGCTTTTGTTACTACTACCACTTCCACGACAAGTGAGACCCTTTACTGAGGGCTCCCTCTGTGCTGGGCGTCGTTAACCACTTTGTAAGTGTTGTCTTATTTAATTCTTAACAACTCTGTGAAGCAAATATTATCATCCCTATATTATGGATGAGGAAACTGAGGTTCGGAGAAGTAACTTGGCACGGTCACAGAGCTGGAAAGGAAAGGAGCTAGGACTCAGATATGTGTTTGTTTGGCTCCCAAGGCTAGTTTTATTCACCATAGGGTTACACACATTGGCCTCCTCAACTATATTGAGTTTCTTCGGCACAGGGACAGTGTCTCCCACGTGTTTCTATGACACATAGACCTTGCATCACGAGCTTGGCACTTGGTACATGTGATTTTAATATAGTAAAAACACTGGCACATCTGGGCTTCCTTCTAGGGTGTGCCTGCTTTCCAGAACTCTCTAATTATGATTTCCATACTATGTTCAAGTCCTTGCATGAGGAGACCCAACTATGTCTGGATTTCTTCTTTCCTGGTGACTCTATGGCAAATAGTATCACAGGAGATTCAGGGGAGGAGGTTGCTGGAGGGGAATGTCATTCTACCCATACAGATGTCTGGTTGGTTCCTCCTACTCCCGGGAATTTGGGAGAGGCTTCTGGCTCTCTGGTACTGTTGGCGTTCTGGAGGATTAGCACTTAGATGGGGGCAAATACTCTGATTCTTTAGATGATATTTGCTTGCTAATTGCTTTTACCTCTCAGATAGAGAAGAAAGCATCAGCTTCAATAAGATATACATAAAGAAATTTCTAGGTCGCAGCACCAGAGACCGTGGCAAGGTGTTTGACCAGACCTCATCTCTTCTGGCCCTAGAAAAGCAGGGAGAGCAATAGAGAACCTAAGCACACACATACACAAACCAACCGCACAATGTAAGACAGAACACAAGGAGCGCCCAATTACCTGCCAGCTCAAGATATAAACCATTACCGAAGACCCAAAAGTAAGAGCTGAAACTATAAAACTCATAAGAAAGCATGGGGGGAAGCCTTGTGGCGTTGGATTTGGCAATGATTTCTTGGAGATGGCACCAAAAGCTGAAGCAACAAAAGAAAAAAAATAAACAGTTTGGACTACATCAACGTAAAACGTCTGTGCATCAAAGGACACAATCAGGAGAATGAAAAGGCAACCCATGAAATGGGAGAGAATATTTGTAAATCATATGTCTGACAAGAGCTTAATATTCAGAATCTATAAAGAACTCCTATAAGGGCTGGCCCAGTGGTGCAGTGGTTAAATGCGCACGTTCTGGTTCGGAGGCCCAGGGTTTGCTGGTTCGGATCCAGGGTGCAGACATGGCACTGCTTGGCAAGCCATGCTGTGGTAGGTGTCCCACATGTAAAGGGGAGGAAGATGGGCATGGATGTTAGCTCAGGGCCAGTCTTCCTGAGCTAAAAGAGGAGGATTGGCAGCAGATGTTAGCTCAGGGCTAATCTTCCTCAAAAAAAAAAAAAAAAAAAAATAAAAGAAGGATTGTCCAATTTGGCATTACTATCTGTAGAAGACAAATGATGTGATATCTTGGCGATAACAACACAGAGAGTCTGCTGAAATGAAGATACAAAAAATAAAAGAAACTCCTATAATTCAACAACAACAAAATAAACAACCCAGTTAAAAAATGGGCAAAAGCCTTGAATAGACATTTCACCAAAGAAGATATACAAATAGTCAATAAGCACATGAAAAGATGCTTCATGTCACTAATCATCAGGAAAACACAAATGCAAATCAAAACCACAATGAGATATCACTTCACACCATTAAGGTGACTAATATAAAAAAAATTAAAAAAATGAAGTGTTGATAGGGATATGGAGAAATTGGAACCCTTGTACTCTTTTGGTAGGAATGTAAAATGGTGTGGCCACAGTGTGGCAGTTCCTCAAAAAATTAAACATAGAATTACCAAATAATGATCCAATAATTTCATTTCTGGGTATTTATCAAAACTAATTGAAAGCAGAGTCTCAAAGAGATATTTGTATACCCCTGTTCATAGCAGCATTATTCACAATAGAAGCAACTCAAGTGTCCTTCAACAGAGGAATGGGGGCTGGCCCTTTGGCAGAACAGTTAAGTTTGTGCACTCTGCTTTAGTGGCCCAGGGTTCATCAGTTCAGATCCTGAGCATGGACC